AAAGCCATGTGAACAAGACCCATTCCCAGCTCGCAAAGAAGCCTCCTTTATTGGTTGTCTTGGAACAAAAAATCCATACAGCGATCCGTCGTCTTTTTTGAAGTATCAGTTCGCGGGGAAAAGTGGTAGAGAGTGCAGAAGCGCAAAGCGCAGATGAAAGGCTTTATATAGCCGTCGGTGTCGGTCATCGACAGCAATTCGAGCACGCGATCTTTGACAGATGCAGACGAAGCATGACACTCTCGTTCAGTGGTTTTATGTCGAGTGCGAGCGCTACATGTTTACCGTGTACCCTTGTTTCGTTTCTCGGAAGTACTGGCATTATAAAATAAAATCGATCATTGAGAAGTACATGTAGATTCATCGTTCTCTTCTCCTTGGGCATGACGATGCGTTCATTTGATTTTGTCCTAGAGCTCAGGAGGATGGGCCATGGCATTGGTCTCGCGTAGTTTTGATATATCGAAGGCGGGCAAGGAGCCCTCGAGACGTGGAAAAAGGAAAGAGGACAGAATCCTAAGCATTATATGCTTCTCGTATCGTCGAAACGGGACATGTTGTTTGCGCGATGTGCATTCTGAATGTCGATCGCCTTGAGGTGAATTTGTCTTTGGCTCGCACCAGGACATAAGCACGCGATGGATTTTTTTTTTGAGAAAAGACATGAGCACCGACGACGTGGTTTTTTTGATTTAGAAACCGAGCAGCCTGTGTGTGTAAGAAAGAGACTGTCAGACTGTAGAGACAAGCTTTTATACACGAGCGGTCAGTGCGCTATACCACTTTTGTTATACAAGTCCTGGCCAAGTACATCATAAACAGACTGAACAGCATCGTTACATATCAGCGAACACCATAGTATTGGCCCGTAGCTATCGAGTGCTCGACCATTCTCAATCCATGATTTGACGTGTGTGTGGTTTTGAAGATGAACACATGTGTTCATGTATCCGACAACCGGGTTTCTACACATTCAGTCTGCTCGGTCTTCTCCATGAAGTGCGCAAGTACATGTTTCTAACACGTATTTTCTGACCAGAACATCAAAGCTTTCCACGTGAATGTTGCAGCGTACACTCAAACATACGTTCAGCAGGTCTCGAGTTCCTGCTCACACATAAGGCGGTCGCCTATGGTTTTGGTTCAAACAACGCAGAACACATAGCAACCCTCTCGTACTTTTTGGAAGATCGTACCGTGCGCATGTTGCTTTTGGCGGGAAAAAGAGAGTACATACGAGAAGAACAGTACCAAGTCGATATTTTATACCCGACCCAGCACTACTCACGCCATTTGCCACAGCGTTGACTTCTTTTTTTTGCGTGAAAGTGAACACTCAGTCTCATCGATTCTTTTCTTCACGCTTTTCTCACTCCGAAAACAAGGAAATTGTGGAAAAGAGCGATGGCGAGCACCCCCTGGCCATGGCTAGATTGTTGTTGACGTTTTTGAAATGCGCACATGACAAATCGGGATATCAATTGGAAGTAAACCCCAGCGGAGAACCCAGAGATATACGCTCTTGCAGTCTGTCTTTTGGAAGTTTGTCTTTTTAGAAAGTAATGAAGGAATGAGAAGAGAGAGCGTCCTTCTCAGCATGGAAAATCCAGCTGTGTGGTTTTGAAACCCGAGGAAACAGTTCCATCATGACAAATTGATATGTTTTTAGATATGTTTCGAGTTTGGGTGCTGATGTGGGAAGTAAAGAAGCGACGTGCTGTGAGCTTATATAGGTATCGCTGGAGGCCTGTGCGTGCGCATGCCCCAGGAACGTATTAGTACATAATCGTTCGAATCCGACATCACCTGATCCAAGGTCTGCCTTCGCTGAAAAAAGGACATTGAAAGAAATCTAAAGAGGTATCGTAGGTAACTATGCATCAGCAATCGTTCAAAACCAATCCCAGTATGCTCTGCCTCATCGCATAGCAACGACACAGCTCGCCAGTGCCAGAATTTTACATGCTCATGACCTCCAACAGCCTAGACATCCCTCCAATTCCGACTAGTCACTCGCTCTCTCGTATCCAGCCTCGGGCCTCTACCCATCTCACGATACTCTCTCGCAAGCCCACCTCTATCACTTCCCTGATCGATCAACCTCACCGCCCTCCTCTCTTCCACAAATGTGGCAGGTTGTCCATTTTCGTCGATACCCTTCCAGCTTCTGATATCATTGATCTCAGCTGAATGTGCGCTCTCCGAATCGGTATCGTCATCTTCTTGTCTTCGGCGACTAGGCGGTGGAGTCATAGAACGAGTCCGTTCGAGTGCTCGTGGGCGGGAGACATGGCGAAATAGTGGCCGCGGTGGCCGTTCAGGTGACAGAGGAGAGGGCGGAAGACGGGGTGTGCGACGTGCGGGAAGAGGAGAGATGTTCCGCACGAGTACCTCCTCAAACCGTCTTGAGGGCGGAGGAGAAGGTGAAATACGGCGCTGTCGATCAATGCGAATTTCCTCTTCGTACTCCCTTCTTGGAGATGGCGATGAGTGCCGTATATGGATCCTCTCGAAGTCCTGGGATAGTGGCTCTTGTGGAGGATCGTCTACAACCCGACTGCGGGAATACTCTCGGTAATGCTCGTACTTGTCGCCACTCGCCAGTCGTTCGTCGGCATACCTTGATCTTCCTCTTGGCTCAAGTACTGGCTCTTCTTGCCTTCTTCCACCACCAAAGTGAACACGAGGTCCTCCGACTTCGACGCGCATGCTCTGCTGACTTTCGCGCATGGTATCTCTTCGCCTGTGGGAGGTTTCGTGCTCGGTGCCTAGGGGCTTCAGGATGCTCCGACTAGGTGAATCCAAACGGCGACGTGGCATAGAATCAGCATTGCTCGAAGTTTCATCCGACGCCTTGAGGAAGCTACGCTGCTCTGGTCCAATCGGGTGGTACGGCCTCGGATGCGACATGAGACGAGCTTCCGCTTCCTCGTTTCGCCTTTCAGCCCGGAGGCTAACACGAATTGGAGATCTACTTGCACTCCTAGTCCGACGTTCCTGAGACTCGCTCCGATAGACAACTCTCGAAGATCTTGTCGGCGGCGGGGGCGACGGACTGAGTTCGATGATCCTTGAATTTGCTCGGCGCGATGGACTTCTCTCGACCTTCCTGTAGGAGTGAGTACGGACAACGTCTGGAGGAGGCCACACCTCGTCAGATCTCGAGGCAAGACTGGGAAGTGGCGGAGGTGGCGCAGGGTACACTTCATCCGACCGTGTTTCCCTAGTGCGGACTATGTCAGGCGGGGGCCAAACTTCACCAGCATACCTGGAAGAGCGGCGAGGACTCAGTGAAGAAGTTTTGAGCTTTCGTTCAGCCCTGCTTTCTTGTGGTTGTTGAAGTACTCGCAAGCCCAGGCGCGCCTGGCTGGATGACCGTTTGATAATACGTGGACGACTAGGAGAGTATCGCGTGACATAGATCTCCTCTCTATTTTGTCTTCGGCCCCTACGCTCGTCATGGTCGATGTCGATGTGGACACATTCTCTAGGCCAGTCGCAGGGTTCTTCGGCCGTACATCTTCGAATGTACCTGTATCTGCTGCTTGAACGATGTGACCCTGCAAGCTTCTTTTTGCACCTTCGACAGGGTGTGGGGATCATGGGCTTGCCAGGAAGGACCGGGTTATTGCGATGGAAACCTGCGGAGCGCATCTCGCCGCAGTGACTACAGGTGTGACAGAGCATAACTGGCACAGCTACTTCTTCTACCTGCGGGGGTGGTGCTTGCGCGGCATGTGATTGTCCGTATTGTTCGTAATGGTATTGCTCGCTTGTCTGCCTCGATCTTGACTCCATGATCTCTTGCTGCGTGTTGCGTGACGATGGTACCATTGCGCTCGTAAGAGGAGCGGCTCGTCGACGTTCCATCCCAGAACCTGGATTGCTATACTGCCAGTCGGCGTTGTAACCTGGCGGAGGCGGTGGTCGTGCGTCGTAGCCCTGTGGAGTATGAGCGTGCCCTTGTGGTCCGGCTACTGGCGGTATCTGCTGTTGACCCTGTTGTTGTGACTGAGGGCTTAGGAGCGGTGGTGGGCGCTGTGGGATCCCCAGATGATTGTACACGCCCTGGCCGTATCCAGCCTGCTGCGGATATCCAGCCTGCTGAGGGTATCCAGCCTGCTGAGGGTATCCAGCCTGCTGAGGGTATCCAGCCTGCTGAGGGTATCCAGCCTGCTGAGGGTATCCAGCCTGTTGAGGATATCCTCCCTGGTATCCGGGAAAAGAAGCGACGGACGAGGCAGCTGGCGGAGGCGTGGGTGCTGCGGGAGGGACTCCGAGCCCTTGGAATTGCTACACGACGGGTAAGCCAAGTTCTATATTTGCTGACGCACTGCGCGCGGGCGTCGATGAGATGGGGCCGAACATGATTACGTCTATTCTTGCTGTCAGCCAACTTCTGGTCTCAGGCGACCATGGCGCACTTACACATTGTAAAGATACGAATTGGCTGGCCGGGCGAAGGAGCCGGGGTACTGGGGAATTGGCTGGCCTTGATCTTGGCCTTGCCCGTTACTGCCACTGCCGCCAGTGCGGCCCATGTACGACTCAAAGGCCCTTCTCTGTTCTTCGTTCGCCATATTGTGGTTTGAGCAGGTGCGGACGTGCGACTCGAAGGCGGAGGGAAGCCGGAAGAGTGGCCCTGGCCGTGGGTCCCACGTGGGCGACCGGGAAAGCGCGAGGAGGTGTTAAGAGGAAGGAGCGACAGAGAGAGATGTGGAGTAGACAAGTGATGGTTGGAAAAGCATGTGAGAAAGCATGTCGACGAACGTGGAGTCAAAGTGAAAGAGCAGACGCACAAGCAGGACTGCGCGACTGCGAAACCGCATCTCCAATCATGATAGTCGAACTCACCGCAACTCACCTCAAGAATACCGATGATGGGACTTGAATATTCTTTTATTTCTTCCCAGACGCCCGCCTGCGAACAATGCCAATATGGCTTCTTATTTGTACAAATGCTATAGAACTCTAGCAAGATTTTGATACGCCCACCATATCTACTCAACTCTCAATACCCTAGGTCCCTTCCTCTTGGTGGACCGCTTCTTCTTGTGGCCCTTGTCGAACGATACGGCGCTTTGATGGTCGCGACCAAAGTTGTCAAGATCCTTGACCTTGTAGATCCTGATGATCCAGTTCTCGCTGGTAAAGGCCTCCTCGATGGTGCTGAGCTCGGGGCCTTGTGCGGGAAGACGCGCGCCACGGACGCGGTCCTGGGCTTGTCCGGCGGGGAACAGCGCGTTGTAGTTGTAGTAGGACATCTTGTACCTGATATGCTGTTAGTAGCTGCTGGAGTTGATGGGACTAAATCACTTACATCAAGCTGTTCTTCATAGTGGGGGTGGCCTCCTCGTCCACACGGTACTCGCCTCGTGGGGTGAAGAAGTTGCGCTCCTTGACCTCATCGGGCCAGATACCCTCGGCAATCCTGACCATCCAGAGGAACTTGTTGATGTCGTCTCCAGAGTAGCCAAGTAGACCACCAAAGACGACCAGTACGTAATCAACCTCGTGTTGACGCATGATGGGGTAGCTGACCTCCTCCCTGGAGCTCATAGCCTTACCGACGGTAGCGATGTGCGTGTTGTTCCAGGTGTTGTTGTCGACAAGGGTTGGGCGGTCGGCCATACCACCAATCTGGTATCCGTAGTCCCACCACGACATGATCTTGGCGTTCTGAGGGGTGTTCTGCCTGAGCCAGTAGTATGCCTCACGGTAGTCATCGATGATGTGTTGGCTACCGTCAGGAAGTCTGGATGCGAGCACGACGGAGGGCGAAGAGTAGGCGTTCGAAGTGACCCATGTGCAGTGCAGAACGAACAGCATGAGGTAGATGGCGGCGGTTCCGGCGACGGTAAGCTTGGAGGCATACGAGTAGATGCCGACGAGCGGGTTGCGTGTAGATCGGAGACCCTCGGGAAGGATAGCTGCAGCAGCGACTGCAGCGGTATCGGTGCTGCCGTTCTCGGTAACGGGCTTGGGGGTCTTGACGTCTAGGTAGGTGTCGAGAATCTGCGAGAAAGCGATTGCCGATGCAACGCAGACAATGGGAGTCAAAGTGAGCATGAGACGGACCATGACACCAGCGAAGTAACTGGCGAGCACAGCGTAGATGACAATGAAGACCTGCTCGTCGGTCAAAGTGCGGAAGCACAGGTAGACACCAGCGGGGAAGAGCCAGATCATCATGTTGAGATCGAAGAAGAAAGCGGGCCATGCGGTAGGCTGATGCTCGGAAACGGAGGCGATGATGGGAATGTGAATCTTGGCGTATCCGGTGTCCCAGAGCGAGTAGAAACGGCCAGTCCAGGGCGCAATAACACCAGAGACGGTAAGAAGCACCAGTCCTCCGACACCGATGAGGAAGACACTCAGAACCAGAGCGCGGAGCAGCGTCTGGAACTGCTTGCCGGGGAGTTGTGCGCGAACCCAGTCGACAAAGGCCACCAGCTGGAGGAGGCCAAAGACACCGAGCGCGGACATGTGCTCGCTACTGCGGATGGGCAGGAAACCGACGAAGGGAATCTGCATACTCGCAAGCGTGCCAAGCGCATACCACGAAGTATAGCTGACATACAACCTCGGGCTGTATCGTCCCATGCAGATCAAGACGAAAGCGTGCAGGGGCAGCAAGTTGGTGATGAAGACGTATCCACCCCACGCTGACACCATGTATCCGTAGAACAGCGCAGTCAATGCACCCCAGAACATGGATCCGAGCTTGACTGCCTTGATCCACAGGAAGAAGGTGAAGACGAGCAGGAAGATGGCAATGGCCTCGTTATCGTAACTTCCTGCGACGGATCGCGAGATGTAGCCGGGGGTGATGCCCATGAAGGCTGCGGCGAGCAGACCGGCCGAGGGCGACGGGACCATCTCGGAGGTCAGGAGGTAGGTCGCGAGAGCGGTAAGACCTGAGAAGGCAGGCGCGAGGAGGACACAGATGTTTCGAATGTCGACGGGCATGGCGAGAGCGCGGAGGGCGTGGTAGATGACACCGCTGGTGACCATCAGTCCGGGGTAGAGAGTACCACCCGTGACTCGTCCAAGAGGATGCCATGTTCCTGCATTCCATGTCAGTCCATTGTAGCTATATGGCATTGGGGCATGCGGTGGAGATGCGTACGGTCGTCGAACCAGTCCCAGAAGCTGTAGAAGCCATTCTGTACCAAGTATTTCGTCGCTCGGAAGTTGAACCACGGATCAACTGCATTGCATAGTCAGTCAATTGCCCTTCCATTCCCCAATTGTAGTACTGACACTCGTGGATGATGCTCTCAAAGCGAATGACGGAGAAGAGACGACTGCTTACGGCGGCGGCAGCGATGAGGCACAGGATAATCACCCGGAGCAAGCCTCGAGTGTTGCGGCCAGTCGCCTGCTTGAGCAGCTGCCCGTCATCTACGGCGGCAGCCATGTTTGCAGGAGAAGTTAAGGAAGGTGAGGTTGTTGGTCGCAAGGCCGCGTCACGGAACTTCTCGAGAGCTATGCTTCATGAGCACACGTTTCCAACTCCACGCCTCGGCATTTGGTTTCGCCGACTTTCAGCATCCCTGCAACGTCATCACCATCACCATGTCCGCGACAGCCACGGTGCGCCATTAAGCATACGGCATTCTTTCACTTTGCGTCGATTCACATATGCGAGAATTGTTTACTGGGTATCTGGATCTGCGCTATGAAATATCCACTAGTCTCCGCAGAAGAAATCCATGAAAGCCTCCGTCTCTTCAACACTGCAATAGGCGCAGACGCGATGTGAGCAGTTGGCGCAAGCGACATCTACAACACCGCAAGGGTTCTGACATGCGCACTGTGTCTGTTAGTACTGTTACAAACAGCTGAAACGGATAACTTACACAATAGCGATTCATTACCGTGGTCGTTTGTCTTCGCTTTGAGTGTCGTTCGCCATATACCGAGTCTTCTGAACGCTGTCGTTTCACTGCAGTTCCTAATGCAATATCTCCTGCAACTGGCGAGTGCTGCATCGTTGCATGGTCTGAGATCGGCACACTGGGCATGTTGTTTGGAGGAGGATGATGCGGCGGTCGCGGCTGTGGAATATCGTCATCAACGTCTCCGGTGGCATCCACATCGCCGTCCTTGTCTCTCTCGTCCTCACCGTCAAAGTAGTCTCGTTTCTTCTTCTCTTCTAGCAGCTCTTTCTTCGGTCGGTTCTCTTCAGCACAGATCCAATCATCGATATTTCTCCTCTCCTTCTCGAAGTGACGCGCGATGTGATCAAACCGCTCATCCCAAGCTGCATTGCGTCGCTCTTTGAGCTGCACTATATCTTTGCACAGGCCACACCAGAAGGTACCTTGGCAGTTCTTGCCAATCCTGCGGCGGTTGACACGTTCTTGGGCAACCTCACATGCCATCTTATGCTCCCTCTCCAGGTGGTTCTTGAACGCTCCTTCGCGGTATAGATGCACACCACAGACCTGACCTGTCTGAAGTTCTTGGCCGCAGCGGAAGGCTTCCTGCTGGAAATGCTGACTGTTCTCGTGGCGCTTCCAATCTGACTTTGCGCCAAAGCGTTTGTGGCACTTGGGATATGTGCATCCATAAGGCCTGTTATGTCGCTTGATGTGCTTACGCAGATCGCAATCACGAGCGACCGCAAATTCGCAGCCAGACATCGGACATGTCTTGTCATTGTTTGAAGAGCTCTTGCTGGAGCGACGCTGTTCTGTGTCGGGGGATCCTGGGCCTTTATTGACAAGCTCAGCCATCATCTTTAACAATGCATCATTCTTCTCAGACTTGGACGGCCTCCTGGATCTATCGTCGCGATTGGCTTTTTGCAGCAACTCTAGTATGCGACTCTCAATATCCACAGGCTCCGGAGAATGCAAGCGCTGTTCAGACTTCCTCTTGAGCTCTAGTGCTTGCTGCTCAGCCTTAGTCTGGGGTGCATTGGATAAAGAAGAACCCTGTGAGAACTTCTGAATCTTGACATGATTACTTCCAGACGCGCCAGGAGCGGCCTTGATAGTGGAGGGAGAATCTTGTATTCCCGGTGCATTGTGCCGAGAACGAGCCACCTTCGACACTTTCTGAACGCGACCGTTGTGTGGTGCGGAAGTAGGCCCGGGTCCAGAGAGCCGAGATAGTGGCTGTGCTTTTGGCACAAATACGGAGTCCTGGCTCGGCGAAGGTAGATATCTGGCATCCTGCATCATGGGAAAGTCCATCATAGACATGTTGCCCATCGTTGGGCTTATGGAGAAAGGGATCTCCATGCCAGCCACTGTTGACCCAATGTCCAGGGGTGTAACCGTTGTTTTACCCTCTATAGGAGAGTCCACTCGCCTGGGTCGCCATACCGATCTATCAATGTCAGCTTAGCTGACTCTTCAAGTGTGGAATGTGCAAATCTACCTTTCTACAAGTTCGAGCACGTCCTCATCTTTGTGCATCCTCTCAACATGCTGCTTGAAGTTGTCTAGACGTGGCCAGATTTTCTCTTTGTTCCTACAATCCTCCACAGCACACTGGTAGGACTTCTTGTCAATGTCCTTCCGATGTAGGCTTTTCTGATGCCGCTCAAGATCATTCGTAGTTGTGAACCCCTCTACCCTTTTGCAGCCGGGTACGTCACACTTAAAGGGTTTGCTGTGTTTGAGCATGTGCTTCCTGTTACCTTCATCAGCACATAGTCATCTCATAATAATCCGCATACGCACTTGAACTCTGAGTTGCACTTGAGTACTTCTGGGCACTCATAGCATGGGAAGTCTTTCTTTGACCTCGACCTCCCACTACGACTGCTGACATGGGATCGTTGATCTGAAGGCATCCGTGACATCGTAGGAGCCTCGCTTGTGGCAGACTCGACATGCATGTTGTTAATATCTGACATGATACTTGCCGATAGTTCCTGATGGAGATGATCGGGATCATTGCTTATGACCGACTTGGTGTTCCGCGAGACGTAACCCTCGTCAGATGGCAAAGCCTGACTCTCAACGTCAGATCCCGGACCCCATGGGAACTGGAAATTCACATTCGATCGAGGGGAAAGACCATGAGAGCTACTAGACTGAGATAGCCTCATATTGTACGGGCTCCATGCTTGCTCCGGTCCTCTGCCTGCAGTCGGGCCATGATAAGGCCGTACATATTGTGGATCGAGAAGGTCAAAATCCCTCGGCATATAGGATCCAATACCATTGTCCAACGGAGAGAGATTGGCCTGACGATAGTTCATGCGATCGAAATCTCTTGCATGTGGAGTAGTTCTTGGAGTATGTAAGGAGGCGGATGAACTAGATCTTTGGCTCCGTACACTATGTGCACTCCGTGGTTGTTGGAAAAACGTGCTCTGCTGCGTCTGCACAGGATCAATGTGCAGTGCAGGTATCTGGCGGCCAAAGTATTGGTTGGGGACTGATATGTTATAAGACTGTTGACAGTCCCCGTTCTGGTTGTGGAGTGACATGTTCGCTATCATGGGTCAGCATCTTTCGGGGCTGCCTCAGGCATCAACATGCCACCCAATTCATCCCAACCAGCTCTCGAACATGGAAAGAGGCATCATCATCGTATAAGCATCAGTATGGAAGTACAGACGAGAAGAGAAATAAGAGTATAGAAAAGGCAACAACAACACATACCTCTAATCTCAACTCGTCAGCCTGCTGCGATATGGAAGCCTTACGCCTGCCTCAAGGAACGCCGTACGCAAACCGTTTCAGAAGAGCAGGCGCGCAGCTGTGCATTAGTAGATTCCAGCTGCAGCACACCGCCCCAATCTGCTAAGATGACAAGCCAGATGGGTACATGTAACAGGTAATGTGTGTGAGGTCCTCCGTTTCGTGTCCCATGCGCACGGGCATGCGCTGCCTGCCGGTGAGATATGAGGAAAGGCTTCAATACCAAGACCCTGTCACCTCATCGCGTGCACCTGCCCTGCACTGGCTGTATCGGAGAACTTCGATTCGAGATGGGTAAAAAGGAGACTGTAGTATGTCGTCAAGGTTTCTTTCCACACGCAGTAGTTATCGCAGTTGTACGCCTGTGGTCGCGATGGCGAGGGTGCGCCGCATGTGGGCGGCCTCCCAGTCCTCCTCGCGCAGGGGCGCTACCAGGAAGGCGACCGGTGTCCTCTTTGCCCTCTTTCTCTTTCTGACAGCTCATTCGTGCTGGGGATGCACCTAGCGAGCCGTTCACCGAATTGCAGATGGAGGACTCCAAGTTGCGGGTGGCTGTGTTGAGAGTCCTCCATGTGCGTGGGAGACGCATGCACCCAATCACAGCTTCAGACCGGGTTCCTCCCCGGCGGCGCGATCGATTTAGCACGCCGCGCTGATGTGTGTATGACAGGGCGTGGGGGCTGGAAGTTTGAAAATAAGTCAGGCATTGCACTCGCGCAAAGGAGTTTTACTGGCGCTGGCGATGGCTATCGTGCAATCACACCCTTGTGGAGTGGAAGGTACCTAAGGGCTTTAAGTGGGTCGCAGCTTCCAGTCTACGACGTATCTCGCAAATGGTACTATATCGTATGGAGCGGACAACAAAGTACGGAAAATCGAGGGATTGAGAAATTGATGCAATTAACGCGCCGATGTCTATAGTACCATGCATGCCTATTGCACCATCAGATGCGACAGTGTAGTCGATCCAATTCGAATCCGAAGCGACAGTAGGTATCGTAACGCGTCTAAACCAAATTCGCCTCGTAAACATGAAAGCCTCTTCCGCTGCGGAAGAGTGGATATCGTACGAAATCAAAGTGAGCCAAAACAAAATCAGATCCTACGCCTGTACTATGGGCGTGTCGATCGAAACCCCTCCCATAATCCACCCCCGTCTATTGCTGATGCTGGTATTGATAGTTGTGTTGTGCCGTCAGATACGACATGGCAGGGTAGGTGCTGCCTTGTTGGTAAGACATAGCGTTGTTGGTATCGTAACCCATATTCGGCATCTCAGTCGTCAAGCCCTGCGGCTCTTGAGTGTAGTAGGAAGGAAAAGGTGTAGTCGTAGCGTCGACCGGAGAGTCCGTGTACAGCGATTGCTGTTGTTGAACCGTATTAACAGGATTCATGCCATACTGCTGCACTCCATTCTGCATATTCCCAGTCTGGTATGGCTGACTAGGAATTTGCAGCCCGTTCGTATAGCCATTGTGTGGCTTCCGAGGGACCTGTAGCCCTGGGTAGGTCTGGTTCGTGAAGTTTGTGGCATTGTTTGCCACATAGTTCGCATAGCCGCTAGTCTGAGTCGGTGGCGGTGCCATTTGCGGTGGGGGGTAGGTTTGCATCGGCGTAGATCCTGCCTGAGATTTTGTTTCCTGAGGGTAAAGACTGTGAGGGTCGATACCAGGTGCATATGCGGCATTAGGATTGTAGCGCGACGGGTTATCTAGTGGCGAACGGCCTGGAGTGATGGAGAGCTTGCGGCTTTCGG